CTTAAAGGGGCCGCGGCTGCTCCGGCTCCGGCTTCGGTTCCCCACGTCTCCGACCCCTGGGCCAAAGTGGGCGGGGCCGCGAAGAGGTCCCAGGGGCCCACCTCCGGGTCCTGAAACTGAAGTCCCGGAAAAGGACTCCAAATCGCCCACACCTGAGGTAGGCTGCAGGGGGATCCTGGAAGATCACACCTCACCAGCGGCACAGCATGTGGTTCCCGGGATTTCCAAAGCAAGTAACCAAACTCAGGAGTGGAGAGAACTGTGAGTCCGCCTCCGCAGCGGTCTGCACCGGGACTAGCCACATAACCAGAAATCTTTTTAGATTATGAATTGACATTCTGCCCTAAATATCCAAATACTGTGTTAATGAACAGCATGATTTGATCACCAGAAAGGAGACGAAAGGGCAACTGCTGCTTCTTCCTGCCACGTCTGACATGGCCAAAGTCGAGACCCGCCCCATTCTCCTTTGGGGCTGCAGGTGCATTCCAAACTAGGTAGAAGGCATGTGGAAGAGGCCTGTTCTCTCTGAGCAGCCTCCTCCAGAATTCCTGAAAAACATTCTTTATGGCTGCACCAGCGCTCTACCTACACCTGCCTGGAGCCCCCTCTGTTGTCTGAAGCAAGATTTGAAATTTTGAAGCTGGCTAAGAATCTCAAGTTGCCCAGAGCATAAACTTTGCCTTTAAATATATTTTCAACCTTTTATATATGGCGACGAAAACTGGATCAACCACAAAGAATTGTGTGGAATAAAACAAAATAATAAGTAAAGAGCAAAGTCCCCCTCCCCCGCTTTTTTTTTTTTTTTTGAAAGGACATAAGTTCTAAATAAGTAATTTGTAAACATCACCGTTAACGACACAGGATAGTTACTTGTGAGAAATATCCATCAATAGAGCTAACATATTTGACCTAATATATACATGCACATAAATACAGATCTGCTTCAAATTTGGGCCAGAACACATACACACACCCACACACACACAACAAAAAAACAAAAAACCTCACACACCCTGTCCATATTTATTTTCAAGGGAAAAGCAATATAATTGAAATCAAAACCTGACATTCTGTCCATCTATTTATTAGAGCTGTGTGACTTTAGCTAACTGAATTTTACGGAGGCTCAATTTATTCATATACAAAATGGTAATAATAATTCAGTTACTTCTGAAGACCCAGTCTTAGCAAAAGAAGCTCAGACTAACTTGGAAAATACAAAATGTGCTATAGGGACAGAAACCTGTCCTGTATTCAGGAAGGGAGGAAGATCCATCCTGCAGGCCCCCAAATGCATATTCCCTTTTTCCTTCCTAAGATTCAGAACATACCAGGCAGGGCAGCAGTGCTCTTTGACCACATCTGTTTCATCATAATTGCTTCACAATGTGTGTAGTACCTGACAATTTTGGTTATTTCTTAACTCCTTGGGCAGGATGATTGTATGTGGACATATGTGGGGTCAGCCCACAGAGAGGATAGATTTCAGTGTCATCTCAGGACTCTGGATCAAAACTACCCCCCTATAGACAGACACTAGTATGAATGTCAGTGGTGGCTGTTAGTTGTTCGGTTCTATTCTGTTAGTTGTTAGTTATTCTGTTATTGTTATTAATAATAATTTGTTAACAATAGCAAGAACTCAGGCCAAGTAAACCCACAGAATACACTACATGTCCCACTGTATTCCTTCATGGTAGGCCTCTATAAATGCATCACCAAACTGCAAGAAAGACAAAGCCTGAGATTCAAAAGGATTATTAGTTAAATATTAAATGTAAATATTACTTAAATGTTAAAATTTGAAAACTAATCAAAACTCAGTGACCTTGAGGGACAGACTATATCAACTACATTTTTTTCCTGAAAATTTTAGTGCGGCTTAATTTCTTTAAAATATCACTTTTGTTATTTACATTTAGATCTTTAATTATTCTTACCTTTGTTTTACCAATATTCCCTTTCTAATGATACTTCTTCAAAATTCTGTATTTACTCCAAAGTTTTTCTGCATTTTAAATGTGAAGTATGAAGGCTGAATTGCACTTTTTGTATCTTTGTTCCTAGAAATGGTTCAAGGAAACAGTTCAGAAAAATTAAATTATTCATCTGCACTTCAAAAAGTACAAAAATTCTCTTAATTGAAGCAAATTTTCCTGATGAACTTCTCTTTCCCAAGGTTCTTAAACTTCTAAATAGAGTCATTTGTTTGAAAAACTGAGACCAAAAGCTACTTCTTGCTAAGATAGCAAGATAAAAGTGTTTTGGAAAACTGCCTCAATTCTTCACTAGGCTGTTAGTGGCAGCCGAACACTTTGATCAGAAAGGTTTGAGTAGTAAAAAGTAAATAACCTCAAGTACTACACTTTTTCCTATGTTGGAAAAAGTGTATCAAGAATTTTTGTGAGACTTTATGAGCATTTAAAAGTATATTCATCTGTGTTTTTGAAATTTCTAGAAAGAAACTATTTCAGGATATTATAACAATTAATTATTTTATGTGATTTTTCCCCATAATGAATATGTGTTGCTTTTTCTGCATTTTATTTATAAAAATAAAATTTTTCTATTTTTCTACATGGGTGAAAATTCACATTTTCTTTTTTCTCATTTTTTATACTAATTATTGTGCATATTAATTGTATAAAATAATTGGGTTTTGTAATATTTCCATATAAGCATATAACATTTTGTATCCTCAAATGGTTCTTAATGGCTTATAATAAAAACATTCATCCTTAAGTCACATCAGTCTCTGCCCTACTCCTTTCCACCTATTTTGCCCCATATTCCCTACAACACAGCTGTATGTTCTTCAATTCCTAATGGAACCCATATTCCAATGTTACTTAATTTTCAGTTTTAGATACTACTTATTGACATCTTGTCATGGTATTGGAAAATAACATGCTGTTTACACACCAGCATCACCACCACTTTGCCCCCACAGCCTTGGCTTGACACATCACATTCAGTAAACAATAATTAGAGTTTACATCATTCATAACAAAATGTAAATATCATGGCATTGCTGAATCAAGTAGTGTGCCATAATAATACTTTTCTTGAAAATATGTTCCTGGAGTTAACAATTGCCTTGCTTTTTCACTTTTAAAATAATCTAAACCTAAATTTTGTCTAAAATCCTTAACATATCTATCCAATGTCCATTAATAATACCTTTCAATGCCCAAACATGACTGAGTTTACTCTTATTTTGCTGCAGTAGACTCCAGTGGTTTACTCAGAGGGGATACATAGGGAGAAAATATTCACTTCCATGTCTGAAAATGCATTCTGTTCTTATTACTGATTGATAATTTAGATAGGATTGAGTTCAATTTCCTATAGACTGTAAAAACATTATTCCACTGTCTTTTACTTTTAATGCTGCTATTGAAATGTCTAATGTCTTTCTAGTTTCCAACTCCTCTGTATTTTATCTGTTTTTCTTTCTAGAATTTTCCCTGGTAGTCTAAAGTTTCATAATGATGTATTTTAGAATAGGTCTTTAAAAAAACAATTGTATTGAACATTAAATGGTCTTTTATCTGCAATTTTTTCTTATATTTCTTCAATAATTTCCTCCCTACCTTTTTCTCTGTTCTCTCCTTGTGAATTCTTGTTAATAGGCTATTAGACTATCGACATTAATTCTCTAAATTTGTCATCCCTTTATTCTACTGATCATCTCTGCATCTTTCTTTTCCATCATCTGAGACAGAAATTGTCAAAGGGAGGAGTTGGAAGGTTGATTTCTCTGCCCTAGGGCAATGTGACAATGTCTGTAGATAATTTTGGTTGTCACCACAGGAAAGAGCAGATGCCTTGGCATACAATGAGTAGAGGCCAGAGTGGTTGCTAATCATTTTACAATGCACAGAACAGCCTCCACAACAACAACAACAACAAAAATTCCCTGCCCCAAATGGTCATAGTGAGAAATCCTGGGCCAGGAGAATGCCTTAACTTTATCTTCTAATCTTCTACTAAAGTTCTGTTCCAAACATATATTTCATTTTCAAGGGTTCTTTCAATTCTTTAGTTAGCCCTTTTATTGTGGGAACTCTCCGTGGAAGAATAAATCCTTTCTCCAGAGAAGAAACATTAATCTCAGAGGGGTATTATATTGATGGTGGTACCATTAGGATATAGTACCCGAGTCCAGTCTGGCTACATGAAGGACCAGGGGGTTCAGAGTTCAGTAAAACAATCACTTTAGAGTAAACCTCCTTCAGTCTAATGCCCCACCCCTCCCCTCCACAGTATACCCCACAGCCAAGTGCTATCTACTCTAAACACTTACTTTAGTCCCTCTTACACTTGGCCAAGCCAATTACCACTAATTAACCCATCTTCAGCTTCCAAAATATATTGAAATCTTTCATCTCTTGGAGATTTTTTTCTCCATCCTTAAAAAGAAAAGTAAATAATTCTTATAAATGAAACAAAGTTTTCCGATGAATACTCTCATTTTATTGCTATTTGCAAAGATCACTTCCATAATATTTAAAAAGGAGGGTCTTATTTTTGTATTATAAAAAATTAATAACAGAAAGGAATCCAGAACAATGGCATGGGAAGAACCACAGTTCTGTTTTTTTTTTAATTTCCAACTTATTTTTTAATTGTGTCAAAAATCATTTTTTTTAGATTTATTTATTAGTTGAAACTAATGTTACCAATCACTATTTATATGATGTGTAACTTTTAGATCAATTTGTTAAATATCCTTCCAGATACTTTTCTATACATACTTGCAAATACTATAAGGTTTCATAGGAAAAAATGGGAGGGAGGATTAAAACAGTACCTTATTGGACATGTAGGAATTTTACCATTGGACCAAATTTTCAGTTTTCAGATAAGGCAAAATAGTAATGTGTTGAGAAAGTAAATTTAAAACTCAAAGCCAGCTCCAGATTTAATGGGAAACACTAGAAGAGCCTGGCTCAAGTCAAGAGAAAGACAAAAGGGATGCCCATTCTTCCACTACTAATTTAAGGGATACTAGAAATACCAGTTGTGGGAACTGGATGAAAGAGAGAAAGTGACCATATCAATACTAGGAAAAAAATGCAAAATTGTCACTATTGATAGATGATGATATGATATTATGAAAGTCAACTAAAATATACATGCATATTTTAGTAAATAAGTATGAATATATCAAAGAAAATCAACAAAAATACATAAATAATAGAAAATTAAGTATGGATCAGGATATAAAATTAATTTAAATACATACATCCTTTCTTGGAACTACTTTAATTGTATACACATGTGTACACCTACATGTATAAATACATGCATACACACATACATGTATACATATGTACGCACATAGAATACTTCTTTACAAAATAAAAGAATGAAAAGATCCTGTTATAACTGCAATAAAGAGTGCCTAAGCAATTACCAAGAATACAAGTAACAATAAATGTTGGTGAGGATGTGGGAAAAGACGTTCACTCATATATTCCTGGTGGGACTGCAAATTGGTACAACCACTCTGGAAAGCAGAATGGAGATTCCTCAGAAAACTTGGAATGGAACCACCATTTGACTCAGTTATCCCATTCCTCAGTATATACCCAAAGGACTTAAAATCAACATACTACGGTAACACAGTCACATCAATGTTTGTAGCAATTCAATTCACAATAGCAAAGCTATAGAACCAACCTAAGTGCCCTTCAACAGATGAATGTATAAAGTAAATGTGATATATATATATACACACACACACACAATGGAATATTACTCAGCCATAAAGAAGAATGAAATTATGCATTTGCAGGTAAATGAATAGAACTGGAGACTATCCTTCTAAGTGAAATAAGCCAATCCCAAAAAACCAAAGGCCAAATAGTCTCCCTGACATGTGGATGCTAACACACAATAAGAGCAGGGGAGAATAGAAATTCATTTGATTAGACAAAAGGCAATGGATGGAAAGGAGGAGGCATGGAAATAATAAAGACAGTAAAATTAATCAAATATAACTTTTCTATGTTCATATATGAATATGTGACCAGTGAAACTCCACATCATATACAACCACAAGAATGGGATCTTAATTAGAATAAATTATACTCCATATATGTACAATATGTCAAAATATACTCTTACTATCATGTATATCTAAAAAGAACAAATAAAAACAAAAGCAAGTGCCGCAGTCTGGCTGGGCACAAGATCACGAGCCACTCACAGCTTTGTAGATTCAAACAGCAATTCTTTATTCCCGAACTCACACCGGCCTCTACAAACACGTTCTGGGGAAATCCAAGTTCTGCAGCCGAAATACACCTACTCCCCCAGGCTTTTAATCCCAAAATACCTTCTGAATTCCAGGAGAACTCAACAGGAACTCAGGCAGCAGGATACGCCCTATTCCCAGCAGGAATAACCTTAAACAGGGAACTGCCCTAAACCCAGATTATCTTAAACCAGGAACGCCCTAAACCCAAATTGTCCTAAACCAGGAACGCCCTAAACCCAAGGAGCTTCCTAAAACCTGCAGGATACACCCTAAACCTGGATCCACCCTTGTCCTTGAGCAGGGTCACCTTTCTCAAACATACTTGCAATGTCACAGCGAATGTCCAAGGCAAGTCCATTTCCACGAGTCCTTCCTCTAAGCAACAATAGGGTACGCTGGCAAGGAAATTTCGATGCATCATTCCTACTTGGCAATGGCCCTCAGCAAGCAAGGGGTCTGGGCTTGTGGCTCAGCAATAGAGTGCTCACCTAGCACGTGTGAGGCACTGGGTTCAATCCTCAGCATCACATAAAAATAAAATAAAGGTGTCCAACTACAACTAAAAAAAATATTAAAAAAAAAAAAAAAGCAAGGAACTGGATGAAAACCTTAATTCAATGGTGAACTACAATTTTTCACATTTTGTTGAGAAACAAAATCCAAGCCTTTCAAATTAAATTTAGAGTGAAATTGTGGAGAAGTGACATAAAATAAGTAAATATAGCATTAAAATGAGGGCTTCAAAAATTTTGAAGAACTCTAAATTTTCAAGGCTAGACAAAATAGTAAACCAAATTT